AATACACTCCGAAATTAATACAATTTGTGCCAAGTCAAGTGCTAATTAGAAGGAATTTTTTACGTATATTTTTTGAGTATATTATTTCAACATTTAATCGATACACGTCTTTGAGTTTCCATCCATAATAGGCAGTTGATTAAACGGGCAATCGACTGTTTGACATTCCTTTGGTCCGTCAATCTTGGCGGTTTTTGCGATCGCCGGCGCAATTATCACCCTCCGATGCGATCGTCGGGTATATTTGTTTTAATTAACCGTCCTCGATGTCAATTAAATTAGTTATTCGACGTCGGGAACAATATACCGGTCCGGTGTTGTAGCAGGAATGCGCCCGGACGAGAGGAAACACATGTCAATGACGAAATTTTTCTTTTAATTAGGCCTAATAGAGTTGAAACGCCGGAGATTGTACGGCGGATTTGCATAGATAAGTGCAGGAAAGGGGTTTGTTTAATGTGTATTTTTTGTTCTTAATGGGCGCGAAGGGTTGGAATGTTAATGAGTTTGTATTCGGTAATTTGGGTTTTGTGATATTAGCCGGGGATATTCTCTTAATTAAATTAAATTAAATTAAATTAGTGTCAATCCGCGGGCTCGTTGCGTAAAATATTGCTCAATGGTGTAATAAATATGTTTCTTTGTAGATTTTAATGAATTAGATTAGTCTTGTTGATACAGATAATTACATTAATATTAATTTATAATGAATATAAAGAGGTTTTGTAATATAATAGTTATTAAATTTGCCAACATTAAATATGTAATATAATATTTATATAAATTATAAACTTGATTATTCAATTAGTGATGTGAGAATTGCCTGAAACTTATTCTTGCTAATAAAGTAATTCGTTTTTTTTTTAATTTTTAATTATTTTTTTGTACCATATAGTATTCCTATGTTCAAACAATTTTTGTTGACCAGTGGCGTTCTTAATATATTTCTTTAATTATTATTAATAGTATGTTCAAGAAACAATTCAGAAAACTGCAAACCCTGATGCGCTTGTGGTAGGTATTTTATTTAAATTTTTCCTCACATCTATAAATTTTCAAATATAATTGCGCGTTTATAACAGGGCTCTAAAATTATTATTATTAAGTGTAATGAATATTTACATGTTTGCAATTATACTGAAACCCAATACGTATAATTAACACCAAGCCTAGCGCGTTCGGGTAACTGAAAACTCGCTGGAACCAGTGGCGGAACAACTACAAATAAAATCATAACACCAATTCTACACATTAGAACAACAATAGAGAAGCAATTACTATACTTACTTATTAATTTGTTAATAATGTTTATGTAAATCTTCACAATTACACCGGCGTTTTCGTGTTTTGAATGGCTTTGATGGAAACGCGCCGCTGTTTTTCTCATAATTAACACCAGCTAAGCCGGAATCCGAAACTATCTTATACGAAACACATGTCAAGTTACGAATTACAAAATAAAAGGAAACAAATTACGTCCGACGTACGACGAAAAAAAAATCCGAGACTCGCGCATGGGACGTATAGGAGCGATAAGTACGGGCAACCGACTGTAAAATAATAATTGGGAAAGATTGTCGGGTGATTTTGAGCACAAAATTAGACGGAATGATTTTCTTTCAGACGCGATGCCAAAACGTTTAGAAAGCCATGCTTTAATTATACATATTCCACTAGCGAAATATCAATCTAGGATGTTAAAATTTAAAAATTTTGAAATAGCTCATCAGGACGATCTTGGAATCATTTAGAACTGTTCATTTCATCAGAAGAAATAGCACAGGACAATCTTGGAGCCATTTAGAACCGTCCCAGAATCCTTTAAAACCATTTCAGAACTAACTATAAATAGAATCATTTGAAATAGTCCATCAGGACGATTTTATGGAATCGTTTTAGAACTGTCCCAAATCATTTTGAAACATTTTTGAACTTAAGGATGATCATTTGAAATATATTCCAGAGCAATCTTAGGATCATTTAGAGCTGTACCCACTGACATTAAACCTTTTTAAAACGATGAGTTAATTTGAAATAGTCCAGAATGATTTTAGATTCATTTAGAACTGTCCAGAATCCTGCTTTAAAACTATTTCTAAACTAATTAAATAGGATCATTTGAAATAGTCCAGCATGGCGATCTTAGAATCATTTAGAACTGTCCCAAAAATCGTTTCGAACCATTCTAGAAGTTTGTATAGTATCATTTGAATTAGTTCTGCAGGTACCAACTGATTTTGAACCTTTTTAAAACTATGGGTTAATTTGAAACAGTCCAAGGAGGATCCATTGAATCATTAAGAACTATTTTATTAAAACCATGCGATTTAATTATACATCTTTCCAACTGCCAGGACGTTAAAATTTCCGTCTCGCATAGCGGGCGTTATCCTGACGCACGGTCCCTTTGTCATTTTAATTACGATTCCAGCGAGTAAAAACCCTACAAAAAGCCACGGCGAGATAAAATTGAGCGATTATTCCGGGGGTGTGGGAACATAAGTCACATTTAAACTGGCTGCCTATTAGGGGTGCTCCGAGCGGAACCGAACGAGGAAACTGGATCGTTTAGCACACTTTTACGCCGATTTGAATTTTTTTTCACGAGAAATCGAGGACGCTGAGTCGAGCGTCGTCCTGTATAGGGTAAATTTAAGTGTCAACTGTCATCGGAGCTATTATTCTGTACAGGCAATTTTCGAACAAAACCCCCACGAAACTCTATTATGTACAGTCGGTGGAAAAGTAATTAACAGAAAGTGTAATGGTTCGTGCCTAATTGGCTCTGCAAATAGCTAATAATTGTCTGGAGGTAATGACGCGTGCTCTTGATAAATTCTATCAGCATATTTGGAGTATCTCGATTAAGGGTTCGTTTTCTATACGACGCGTTTCGTTTATAGAATGATGATAAGCGTTTTAAATTTAAATAATATTCCGGGTGCACGGTAAACTTCCAACCCTTCTCTCCTAACAAATATATACGCCTGTTTAGTTCTAATTAGCGTCGCAAACTCGCTCTAAAATGAGCTAATAAATATTTAACAGCGGCATGCGAAAAAAGCCGTCCGCGTCCGGCCCGATTTCGATATTAAAATTCGAATCGAAACGGACAAAAAAATATCGCCGAATCGCAGCGACATCCATAATTTCCAACAAGATGTCCTTTAACAAGCACAATAACTTACAATTAAGTGATCATTATATCTAATTGCCAAGACAATAACAATTCGAAAACACATTCGACATTGACAGGACCGCATTCAATTACTCCATACGCATTAATTATACCATATAATAACTTACATCCCAACATTATAATGTATACACAAAAAATTGAACAAACCACATAATATTTACCTCATACAAATCATCTGCAATATTTATTCATTTTTCTCTAAATTTCCTCGTCTCGTTTGGGTACCGGTGAGTACGTCCCTGTACGATCGGCGGTCGTTTTTTCGAGCCCATCCGTCCCTATTTTCGAGTCGGTAACAAGCAATTTGCAATCCTCATTAAAAGACCGTCCGTCCTCGTTCGAGGCACGTCCGCACCGTCGCTCTTTCTCCGTTCCTTCGTTCCGCAAAAAAAATCCGACCAATAAATCGGAATTCGCAGAATTTCGAAAATCGAAGCAATAGCAAATAATGAAGCGCATAAACGAGACAGAGGCGTAGATTTCTACTTATATAGTGCATCAATAGTCCAAGAATTTCTAATGCACCAGTTATTATAGCTTGTTTTGGAAAGGGCAATGATGCAAGTGCAAGAAAGAGAGTGTAATATTGCTTGAGAGGAAGAGAGATGGTGTTGTAATTGAACTTGTTTTTGGGAGTGTTTCCTAATTGTTCAGGACAGTTTTAGAATCATTTTGAACTGTTCAAAACCTTAGAACTATCCGGAATCATTTAGAATCATTTTGGAACTAACTAGGATCATTTGAAATAGTTCCAGGACAGTCATAGAAACATTAAGAACTGCCCCAAATCATGCTGGAACTATTTTAAAACGAACTATAGGATCATTTGAAATATAGTGCATCAAATCAATAGTTCATCAAAGTCATTTAGAAGTAGGTAACTAATAAAGGATCATATGAAATAGTTCAGGACGATCTAAGAATCATTTCGAACTGTCCCAAATCTGTTAGAACCATTTTAGAACGAACTGTACCTATAGGATGATCATTTGAAATACTCTAGACCGATTTTATATAGAAGTATCCCCAACTCATCAAATTTAGGACTATTTGTAAGAGTCCAGGATAAACTAGGAATGTCCAGAACTATGCAGAACTACTACGATCTTTTTTATATGAGGATTATTCAATAAATATAGGTAATTTTTTTCGCCCCGTCTCTGCAAAAGAGAATAATCTGAAGGAGTAACTGAATAATGCTGGTGCTCGCAGCACGTCCTGACAGCTATGGATTTTATATTAGGATTTAACATCAATAGAAAAGCAATTTATGATGCGTACGACAAAATATATGTATGTTTTATTGCGCCCCAGCTGGCTCTAGAATGACAATAACCCTCCCGCAATATTATTAATGGAGAAATCATTACCTAATTAAAAAAAAAATAATCGTGGCGTCGCATTATCGAATAATCGAGCGTAGTGTAAACGAAAAATCCTCCTGTTCCTGCTCATAATTAAGTTATAACAATTTACAAAAGGCTTTTTTTAACGACCATAAACAAGTGTAAGCTTCGAAAGCGGCCAGTTAAAATAATAAAAATCAGTGGAAAGACGAAATAAAGGTGCCCGCAGCGGCCCAGCTGCGCCTTCGACGCTCCTCTCCGGCACACCGTCAGGCAGGAGCGAGCTTCGCCTGGGCCGCCGGCCGGTAGTTAGGGACAACCGAAGCCGATTGGTCGACGGGCCCAATAGCCCCGGCAACGAGCGGGCGTCGCCGGCGCCCGGCGACGCCCCGCTCGGCGCCCGCCCCGCGCTCTCGCCTCGAACAAACCATGTTCCCATCGGCCCGTTCAGTGCGGCCCGAACAACTTCAGCCATAAGTCGGCGATTAATTCGATAATAAAAAAAAAACAAACAAAGTGTTGAAAGACATGTTCACGTGACGCGTTCGAAACGTCCGATTCGCGCTACGACGTGGTGCAGACCTATGCTCAAAACCGGTGCTCAAATAATGACTGTCCAAAATTTGGATCGGCTGGACACCATGCAAAACATTAGCGATAAAGCGGGCAACGACGCCCAGCAATCCGGCAAAAACGGACACATTAGTTTCAGTGTAGCCTCCCTGCTGGCGGACACCAGGCCATCGAAGTCCGTCAGTCCGAATTCCTCCACAGTGCAATCTTCTAGTCCGACGCACCAGTCCACCGACGATGAGTACGATTCGAACCAGGAGGATTCCATCGTCGACGTGGAGGATTTGCAAGCGGAGAAGAGCGAGGATTCGCCGTCGAAGGAGGCGGATTTCAACAGGGACAGGGAGCAGATTTTGGGGCCCGGCCAGGGGCCCATTCGGCCCACGCCGTTCTCCGCTCTGGCGGCGGCCGTTTATCAGGCGGCCCATCCGAATTGGCCCCACCAAGGTATGGTCAATCCATTCGGACCCAGCCCTATGTTCCAGAACGCCTCTCCCTTCGGCGTGCCAGGAATCAATCCAGGTGAGCTCCTAACTTACACATTCTCAAGGCTTTCTTCTTATCTCAAACGATAGAATCATTTATAGGTATTTATCTATTATGTACTGATGCTCCAAAAAGCGAGAACCTCTAAATTACTCAATAAAGTACTCTTTGTCCCATTGTCAGCATCAGAAAGTTTTTAATTGCTTTGTATAGAATGAATCCAGGTGATCTTGTAACTTATATCTACACTTGAACCCAATACCATCTCACATGATAGAATCCCTTATAGATATTCATCTACTTCTACAACAAATATAGAAGCTCTAAATGACTCAATAAATCGTCTATATACCCTCTGTCTCAGAAAGATTTTAATTGCAATGCGCCCTTTGTAAAGCGGGACCGGCTTTTGGGCGAAAAACTGGCAGAGGAAATACCGGGAATAAACGATAAATTAGACGTTCGCCCGGTTAAAAGGCAATAAACCAATTTGGCTTTAAAGTGATACCGAAAATTAAGAAGCTGTCAAAAATCAACTGCTTAACCTGTAATTATCATGGAGATGTTTTATTAAGTCTGCGGGTTTTCGAGAAGGGACCGGCTTCAGGTAAAAAAATGATGGGATATAGATAATGGGAGATTAGTCGAAACTTGAATGAAAGAAAGATGTTGTTAATTTCCAATTATAGGTGGTATACTATTTGGAAATTTCCTAATATCACTGAAGGAAAGGAAAATTACAAGGTAGGAATAACTTGATAACGATAATTATTGTAATCTTTGTTATGATGATTAATTACCCTATTTTGATAATAATCTTATCACAATGCGCAGGATATCAACGCACCTACATAATAGAGGAATAATATTAATCAACCCTAATGATGATTATTATAAATATCTAATCTAATGATAATGATATCTACAGATATGTAGGCAGATACCAATGCATATCTATATATACTCCATATAATAAATATTCCCAGTATTTTTCATGTTTTGTTGTAGACATCACAATAGAGGCTGCAGTTAATAAAATTTAAAAAAAATAATCGCGAAAGAATGAGGATTTCTATACGTGTGGGTGAATCGGAGAATATGCTAAAGCGAACGGTCGTTAAATTAATTATAGTGATTATAATTACAAATTATGACGGAATGTAACAGTTTTTATATTCATTTTGCGTTTAGTGAGAAAAATATGCAGACGATAAATTTAATTTAAAATAAACTGCCACAGAGTTGATAGAATCATATAACGGTTAAATTTATTAATGATTAATGAGTAGCAAAATAGCATTAAATTGTTATTTGCAAGATTAATAATGTTAGTTAATAAATTCTAATTAGTTTTCATCAATATGTTTAACGATTCAATCAGGAGAAGGATATTTGAGAAATAACGCTTATTTTGTAACAGTTGTTACCGCACCTCTACACCAAAAAACTGCTTCCCACCTCTATATAACTTCTGTCATATGAAACGTCAATAGTGTCAACTTGACAGTATTTGTATCATCGAACGCATCCTAAAATCCCGCTTGTAACCACCAAAAGAATTATTAGCGACCCTGCGCCCAATTTGCCTATACAGAATTTACCTCTCTTGTGTCCAATTTTATAGACCCATTCATTTCGATTAATGATGTATTATTTATTAATCAACGACTGCACGTTAGCAATAATGACGTGCAGTTAACGTCTGGTGAGATGACGAACGATTTGCTTAAATATTATGACATTTAATGACTTGTATTTTGACAAGTACACGCGATAAATAACATCAAAATCACCGGATGTGTTTATTTATTCCGAAGAGAGAATGAGAGTAGCAAATGAGACCCAAGCTCGCGTTAACCGAGCCGATATCTAAATATAACAGGTGACTCTTTCACTCGTTTACTACGCATACCATTCGCATTGAGTATCGATATAAAATTTTTGAATTTCTACTCGAGTCTGCTTAATTAATAAATTAATAAACATAGTTATCTAGTCAATTATCTCGAAAACTATTACCGAGTTTCTTTCCCTGTATACGCGATATTATAGGTATACACACCGGACGAAAGTTTCGCTGCGCCTTAATTAAGCAATTACTCGTTGAAAAATTAATTTTAATTAAACGCTCGAATCCTCGGAGCTCTCGCAAGAAAATCCCTTTGTTCCGAAGTTCTTGCGCGCCAAGGGGATTTTCTTTTCGTAATTATTGCCGGTTCGGTTTACGTTTTAATTATCGTTTCGAATCGTTTAGCTGAATTACAACTCCATTTGAGCCGATAAAAAGCTCGCTGTAACCGCGATTCTGAACAATACGTCCCGACGAAAATGATTCCTGTTATACCTACACAAACGATGCGTGTTTTTTATTTGCAATTAGGCGATTAATAGGCGGGTTTGTGGAATAGGGAATTGAATAGCCGCGACATCAGAGGTCCGGGAAACGTCGAATTGTCACAGTCGAACGGTCGGTGTTCCACCATCGAGCGACACGGTTATTACCTGCAGTTTAGCCAGGAAATTATTCAATTTATGCCTTTGATGTAGTACGTTACGTAATTAAGATTTATGCTTCGGGTCGCATATCACGAGTGAAATTAACGTTCGATGCGAAAACGGACGAATTTATAATTAAATTTTCGTTGCGTTCGTGTATTAGATGTCGGAAAATAAATTCTTTGTTCGGTATTTGCGCGGCTCGATTCGAATCGAGCACAATGCGGTTTGTCGCTTAAAATAATTAGCCTTATCGGAGTAACAGTACATTTAATTGTGCTGTTTGTATTGAATAATTTTCGCGCGTTATAGCGTTAAATGTTAATTAGGTAAATAAATGGATTTTTTCATGTAAAATTCCGCGAGTTATCTAAATGATTGCATTTTTGATTCATGAGTTAATATTCTGTGTTCACCAACTTTTTTTGAGGTGATATTTTTCTATCAAAAATTAACGAAATATTGTTCATAAATTGTAGAACAATGCCACAATTAATTAAATAAATCTGTATTACCTGTAGTATCAAAAAAATATCTTACAAACGGTCCTTCTTTTCGCTGAATTATAGCGTTACCCCTCTTGAGCGGGCAGTTATATTTCAAACATCAAACGAATTTCGAATTTCGTAAACTTTCCAAAATTAAATGGAAATAACCCATCAAGCGCTACGTCCGCAGTTAATAAAACGTTTAATTAACGCGCGGGAGCGGCATCTATAATTATAAATATAAATCCGGAATTAATTATCTATTTAGAGGAACTCCGACGAGTCGCCGCTGCTCGAGGAAAAGTTCGACAAAAAACAAACTCGGCGCGGACTTAATTATAGGGCTTTCCATTCGCGATAGGATTTAGAGTTCCGTGACGAAAAACACTTAACCGGTAGTTTGTGGGTTGGCGAAACTTGTAGCCCATTAAGGCAGTCGCACACGAAGCATATATAGGATACATTAAATTTTGCATAAGGCCAACAACAAATTACCCACAGATGTTATCGAATGGAACGGCGTATTTACCAAACGGAACAAATTTCATCAAAATTTATAGATTCCTCGCTAATTATAACCCTGTGTTATAACGTGAACTTCTATGGGGCACAGTTCATTCGTGGTATAGGTATGTAAAAATTATTCGTTGAAAAACCCGAAAGCAATAAAAACAATGTAATAATGTAAACAATAAAACGTTCGAAAGGATTAATATTTATTCATAAGTCGAACGAACCGGAAACGAACACGTCTCCACAAATCGTGGATAAAATCCACTAATTTACATAGTTCGAATTAACCGCTATTATATTACTCGACCCGAAATGACGTTCGCATACAATAGGAATAAACCGATTCGATTATTAATTAATTAATCAAGGAGAAAAATTATTCCGAACAAAACAAAATGCTATTAATACACACTAACGTGTATACGGAAGGATACACTTTACATACAGTATGAAACAGTAAATAAATCACCATCGTGACACATCCTGTATATATCTTAAACGATCTCCTCAAGCATTAACTTATAATTGTATAATAATTTAAATAAACAAACGCATACTAATTTGTGTTAATTATGAATTTATTTAATTGCGTTTTCTGTATAAATTTATTAGCCTATCCGTTGAAATATACGGGCGTGCTAAAGGCGATTTTGTAATCATTTCGGTTCATTAAATTAAGCGTAAATTCATAAAAAAATATAATATTAACCAAACAGGAAGCGATTTCCTGCTTAATAATAATATCAGAAAAATGTCTTTCTTCCCAAACGAAATCGTTTTCAAAATAACCGAGCAAAAATACAAACGGAATATTGGGTAGTTACATCGACTAATGGGCTATTATTCAAAACATCTAGAACATCTGTTTGTGCAAGAGCAAAAGGAAAACCTCTACAAGCTGCAAGAGAAAGAAGAAAGCAAAAGAGCCGAAGTGATATTTCCATGATGATGTTAAGAGAACAAGACATGTTAAATAAAAAACATTTATTATCTACATTCTACACGAATTTCGGGTTAGTCCATGAGCTCAAACGTTTTTCTCATACATATAATCTACTCAAAAGAACAACAAATTTTTCTATAAAAGTTATAATAGCTTTTTTATGACCCTACACCTGGCTTTTTAAAGTGATTTAAAGCGATATTTGCGTATTTGCGATATTTGCGCGGTCTATAGAAGATCAATTGAACGAAACGCGATGTAGCTAACAAGCCTATGGACTAAATTCAAATATAACATGACACCGAATAAAAAACCGTCCACAAATATCTCCAGAGAATGAGCCCGACGTGCATATCTCTGTCGGAAGTTAAACAGCCAACTAAACGATCATTAGAAAATATTTATTGCCGGGGTTTTTAGAGGATTAATATCCATCTATCACGTGCTAGACGCACAAAGATCGTCTTTTGCTATTTAACATTCCTGCCGAGCCGGATAGTGTACACGACACGGGTTTCGGATTTCGGAATTCCTGATTTGTTTTCCTGCGACTCTCCTTAGCAAAATGCATGTACCTACTGACATTCGAAATCATC